TAATTGTTTGTTATTCGTGAATTAGAAATTTGAAACTTATAATAAAGACCGGAGCAAGTATTAAGTTTCATCATAGTCCTTATTCAATTATAATAGCACATGTATTTCTCATAAAACTGTCAATCAATACTACTAATTAGTTTGCATATGGATTGACTGTGTAGTTTAATTCAGTTTTGATAGACAATAACATGTTGTGTCTCCTTTTGAAGCATGGAATATGTTTCTAAATCACTGTATCTGCATGCAGAATGTGATTTTTTTTAAGTTGATGTTTCACCTTAGAATGTTATTGTCAGCTCTGAATTATGATGTGCGAGTCTTTTGGAGTGGAGTAGCCACAAATATAAACATATGTAATATTACATATGTACAATATCCCAGTACTATAATTATGATGAGTACTCGAATATTCTATCTTGATCAAGTCACCTTTGCTGCTGAGGGGGTTATAGATGATTGTGTTTATATGGTTATTATCCTTCATAGCAATGTGGATTGATTGTGTTTATGTGGTTATTATCCTTCTTAACAGTTATGAAGGGCAGCGTGACATGCTGTATAGTCGGACATTCAATCTTGATCAAGTCACCTTTGCTGCTGAGGGAGTTAAAGATGCTCAACAAACTGTATGTTCAGAGTTTAAATCTTTTATTGTAATTAATATTCAACTTTTCCCTGTATTTATATGTTTCACTGCATTACTGCTGTAAAGTTTAGATGGATATTTACGTCTAAAATATAGAAAAAACATAACATCAGAGAGTGTTGAAGACTTTTTTTTTTGTTAAATTAAGTTTGGAGGGAGGGAGAGAAATCTGCTGGACAAATTAAATCATTCATGGGTGATGGCATAGTTTCATACCCCATCCAAATTCTCTGTCAAAGCTGGGTATAGCAGGGACTCAGGCTATTAAAAGGGAAAAGTTTTCAAATTTTATGTTTTTTTTTTTAATGGCTTATGCTGTGGTTTTATCTTGACTATAACAAATGTTTAGGTGTTATTTGTTGTTTTTATTGTAAATTTTGAAGATGGCAATCATATGCTATATTAAGTTGACCAGGTAATCATGTTCACTTTGTAACATTTGTTTCTCTTTGAAGCGCTTCAAGGGGCATGGTTCGAGGTGGAGCTTTATAAGTACCTTGTTTGGTGTTGGCTGCCTACCTCAGGAGAGGCGGGAGGTGAGCTGTATGTCATGAGGAAGGGGTCTTTTCACAGAAATGTGATTAATAGATACCTTGAATTTCTCTTGTGCCAATTCTAAAGATGTTTTAAGGTCTTGAGAAACCCAGTTCCATTGAAGCATATTTTGTCATGCATGCATATAATACTATTTTCTCTTATTTTGGACTATTTCTCTTTTCAGATTTGAGCTTTGAAGCTTGCCAACAAGGATTTGAAGGGAATGATGAAGACCCCGAAGATACAAGACATTGATGTATGCACTCTTTGACCTTTTCTTACGGTTCTTCCATTGTGACCTTGAGAGTAATTGCCTTGATTGTTTTACCTGTGCTACTTGTAAAACATACGGGATGGGTTGATGGCTATGATGATGCAAGCAATGAAATTCAGCAATTCTGGGGTAGAAGCTATAACGTACTTGATGACATTGATGATTGGTGGTAAGTTCAGCATGGGGGCAATTTGATACTCTGATAGGGTCACTTTTGTTGCTTAGACCTATGAGAGGAAACTTAGATATATGCAAGGAAAAGGAAAGTTACTTTCTGGTAGTAAGCGATTTGACTTTAAGGAAAGTTCCCTATTGTTTTGTCTTGGGTTCTATCATTTTGGTAACAGAGCGGTGTGATCCTAGGAAATTTTGAGAAGAATGTAATGGAGGAGACTACGTTATGCTGACCTAGAGGTGCAAGAGTTAAAAGAAATCATGAGGGGGTTGATTAGGGACGTGAGTATTCTTAGAGAAGTGATATAAAGGTTGGATGGAACTTCGGCTAGGAAACTCTTTTTTTTTTTTTTTTGGTTTTTTTTTGTTTTTTTGCATATAATCCAAACAGAAGGGAAATTTTTCTGGAGAAAATTTCTATAATCCCCCCCCCCAACGACCAAATGAATTAGATGATTCTTTTAGGAAACTTTGTTCAAAACTGTTGCTTCTTGAGAAATTTTATTTTCATTCAGAGCAAGGCTAAAGGAAAGTTTGGATTCAATATTTCCATTCTGAATCATCCTTTTTTATGCTTATGTGATTTTGTCAACCAGGACTTGACGCAATGGAAGCAGTTGGGAAATGAAACTGAAGCTGATGGAGGTCCCTTTACCTCCATGCTGATGAAGGATCTGATTTGGAGGCAGAGCTTAACCTGCCCTTGGCTCCCATGGGACATGCAGCAGTGCAATTAATCTGATCCGTTAATGCTCAGGTCTAATTTCTTTTCCTTATCCATTTTTTAAGCAAGTTAACCACAGGTGTTTTCTTTGGTGTGATAATAAGTATTTGCATGAAATTCTCATAACCCAAAAAAAAAAAAAGGAACTGCATGAATTTCTTCATTGCAGAAGATCTAATATTAAAAAGGTGTTTGGATAAATCCAAACCATGATTCGAATAGTTATTTTGGGAATAAATTTTGGAAGAATAGGTTCTAGTAAAAAAGTGGTTTTGATAAAATGAAAGTGTTTGAATAGTTATTATTAGAAGTACTTTTTTTATGTGCAAATTATCAAAAAGTACACAAGTTAATATGATAATTACATAAAAGATAGATTTTAATTTATATTTTCATTTGATGTAATAAATTTGCTAATAATTTTTTTTTGGCCAACATAATAAATGATATATAAAAAATATAATTAATGAATTTTTAGTATGTGTATATATATTTATAAAATATAAGATTAAATATGTTTTTAGGTAAATGAATTTTTTTTGGCCAACAGAAAAATACTTTTCTACCTTAAAGACCATAAACATGAAATGCCATGATACAGTGATTATTGTAAAATGTGAAACAGCGTAGACTAGTTTTGAAAGTTGGAAATATTCCTCCGTGCTCACCCATGCACTTGTTTGTACGCGTGTTATTAGGTCATCTGCTGACCCAAACTACCCTGAGGTCTGACCACTTCGGAGTTTCAAGCCCATCCTTCTGACACCCATAATAATCACTCGAAGCACCAGTTTCTAGTCCTCAAAAGCGAAAGTTTTTTTGCTTTTTTCACGACGATGGTTTTCTAAAAATTTGGGATGTTTGGGTAGTTTTGGGACCAAATCATGGTTTGGGGTCTAAAAGTGCTTTTTGATGGTTTGCCACACGTCCCCTCTACAGAGCTGCAACCTTTGCCAAATTGTCCGTATTGGTTGGGGATGATATTTTTTATGAAACGTGGGAATGGTTTGGGTAATTTTGACCGGAAATTCTTACAGCGGGTTGAGACTTTGTGATCTAAAGCAGTTAAGAAAGGCATTGCCAATTAAAGCTGCTTAAATGCGGGCCGATATTTTTCTAGATAATGGGAATGTGTTTTTTTAACGTAATTGGATGATATTGGTCAAAGTTGTAGAGGCAATAGAAAAGGTGGAAATGAGTTCAACTACGATCCTTTATTACACAAACATTGAAGGACTTTTTTACAGAAACATATTTATATCATATTCTGGGCGTTCATCTGTTTAAAATTTTATGTCTAATGAAGATTAAATTATCTTCGAGGGGAGGTAAATGCATTACATCGTTGAGTGGCCTATGAGCCTAACTACAGCGTGTCTGAATATGTATGTTACATAAACACTTCAAAAGTTTGATGCCTATTATCCTTTTTTGCCCCTTCGTAATGTAACTAAGTGTGTGCATTTTACCCTTGTTTTTTTTTTTTATCCCCCCTTGGGGTGGGGGAGACGGGTGAAGAATGCTACGGTTTTGCCCTATCAAAGATATTCCTTGATTTAGATTTGAATTATTTTCTTCTTTCAGATGTTGGCATTAACTTCCATCCACATGGCATGTTTCTGTAATTAATGAGTGCAAACGCCAACCGTTGGTTCTAACCACCCTCCCCCTTCCTATCTAGTATGTGGACTCTCTTATGTTAAGGAGGCAAGCTCTTCTATATGTTACAAAAAAGCGAAAGGATACTGAAATTAATGGTGATGTCAATTATAGAATTCAAGTTGGGTGATTTAAATGGAGAAAAGCGATAGTAACTATATGGTAGTGAGTGTTGGACTTCAAAAGGACAGCATGAACATAAAACAGAGATGGCTAAAATGAGAATGCTAATATGAATGTGTGATCATATAAGAAAAGATAGGATTCGTAATGAATATATCCGTGGAAAAGTTAGAGTGGCTGCCATCAATGAGAAAATAATAGAAAACCATTTTAAATAGTTTGGTTACGCGCAAAGAAGGCATTTGGATGCGCCTGTGAGAAGGATTAATCAAACAACAGAGTCCTTTAAGAAGGGGTAGGGGAAGACCAAAGAGAACATTTCATGAAGTTATTGAACGAAATCTTTAAATTAACAATATCTTAAAGATTTGGCTTTAGATAGAGTTCAATGGCGTCGTGCGATCTATGTAGTCGACCCCATCTAGTAGAATAAGGCTTTGTTGTTGCTAGAAAAATGAAGTAATTTCTTGTCCAATACACAACTTCCTGTTTTTCTTTTTTCCGGCCAAAGTCCAATACATAACTTTATGTATTAAGATATTCATCTTGTCAATATGCCTGTATCGTGTGAATCCTGCATTAGTTTAAATATATTTCCAGTGACGTTCTTAGCATATTACTGTCTGCATTTTAATCTCTCTAAGCTTCCATCTTGGTTTCATGCTATACTCCTGGCAGGCTGATGATGAATTGGGTTTGCCTGCTATACGGGGTTAGGTAGTCTTTGGTAATTGCTGTAGCCGGTGTGGACATAAGCAAGCCTTATGAAGAGGGGCAAAGCTTGAGAACGCCATTGGTTTGGTGAATCTATAATCTATTATTGTGCCTGCATCATTTGACCTGGTGCCTGTTTGCAATAAAAATCATATGATTCTGAAGGTTTGCTGACTTTTCCTACATTCTCTCACGTACAATAATTTACAATTCTTTTAGCAAAAAAATGAGAGAAATCCTATCATTATGAAATTGGGCCCCTCCTTTCACCACCGCCATGGAGGATGGTTTACAGGATTCATTACTACTTCTCCTACTTTACTACACTTACCTAGCCAAGATTTAGATCTAGCTCTACTCAAACTTTTTGAGTTTACCTTAACATTTCTCACTTGTCTGACCGTTGCTCAGCAATTTTTGGATATCAAAATGACCTCTTCTGAAGATAATTTTAATGCAGCTGATTTGCCCATTTCTGCAATCAGTTTTGCAACCTGGTGTAGAGGATGTAAAGAATGTTACAGCAGACATTCAAGATCCTGAAGGCTAAAACTATAAGCATCTATGAGGGATGAGGGTTTTGTTAGATGGTGCAAGAAGTGGTTAGCTCATGCGAATTTGCGTGATGATTTTACTAAGGCTCGAATTCTTGGGGTTTATATCATATGGAACACAGAAATAAAGTGGTGCATGGGCAGGGATTTTTCTCGCATGAAATGGCTATGGCCATATTCAGGCATCACTGGTGGCAGAGTAATAATGTGGTATGGAGCGATGCTATGGACAGGGGTATGCGTAGCAGGTTTCCGCAAACACTTTCTTGGTTCTACAGGATTGAGCAAGGCTTTCAGGAAGTTCGCTCAGTTGAATGGATTATTTTTAAGGACTGTTCGTTCACTTGTGAGAATGGGCAGAAGTAAATCTCAGTGGATGCGGCGATCTATATCACAAGGGTTTGTTCCTGTGCAAATTGCCAAGGGCGTAATCAGATTCCCAGGGATAAGAGAAGCTCAGCTATGGAATGGTTTAGACGTGTGTTCCTAAATATGCATAGAACAGCGCTCATCCAAACGGCGCATGATGATGTTCTTTCTCTCTTATTTTTTATAAGATCCTCTTAATTACGTCATTTAAAAAGATAGTTAAAATTAGTTAAAAGTAATAAGTATGTAAAAATTAAAATTTTTTCTCAAGTATGCTCTTATTTAGTAAAAAGGCATATAAGAGAGAAAGATACTAGTAGGGATGAGATAAAGTATCAAAGAGAATGTAACATGATAAAATAATGAGAAGAAAGAATAGAAAATTAATTATGGGTAAAATTGATAAAAATGTATTTAATACTTAGACAGCCTTAAGTAGGATTTTAACCAAATCAATTCAAATTTTAATATTTTATAAAAAGTAGGGAAATTTTCAATTTAAGGATCTTTGTAGCAACATAATTTCTATTCATGAATGAGAAAGACATAATTGTCCCTAATAACTGTTTCCCTTTAAATTTGGAAAAAATGAGGGCTGAAAATTAAGGCCATTCTTTCCGTTCTTTCCTCTCTCACTCTGAAATATCATAAACTCTTCCCTTTCTCATTCTTTAAACTCGTTGTCTATTTTGTGCTTCTGTCACTCTCAAAAGTCATCCAAAGGAGATTCATCGCCATTCATTGTGCTGGTTTTCTCACTCTCAAAACTCACAAAGATTATCTAAGGGAGGTTTATAGACATTGTCGTCAGGTGGCAGGGTATTGCCATTGTGGTGCATTCTAGGCTCTACAACCAGAGAAAAATACAAAGCAAGAGGAGGGTATAATTGAGAGAGAAAACTTGGAAGCAATCTCATTTATTCATTTATACGTAGTACACACACATATATAACATACTCATTGAGAGATAGATATAAAAAGTGTAGAAAATATGATTGTATATGATTTACAAGTTTCTGCGCAATTATTATCTCTCTTTAGTCTTTCCTCTGTCTCTCTTAAAATGCATCACACACACTCTGTTGAGAATCTAAAAAGTTCGAATTAATAAATATATCAAAGCTTTCACATGCTTTCCCAGTAGCATTCCTTCGTTAATGAGCTTTTGCTTAGTTTTGGTTGGTTTTATATTCAATATCTGTACATAGGAGATTTGGTACATAAATTCACAACAGGAACAATTTCATTTACAAGTGGGTTAATTTAATTGAAAAAGCTCATGATAATTTACAAGTTTTGGAGGAACTATTCACACATAGAATTTGCGAATTTGCGATAAGGATACATAAATTAACAACAGAAATATGTCCATTTGCAAGTGAGTTAATTTAATTGAAAATGTTCTTGATAATTTATAAGTGTAAGAGGAATTATTCACAATTGGAACTTAAGAATTTGTAACAAGAATACATAAAGTAACAAAAGAAATATGTCCATTTCCAAGTGGGTTAATTTAATTGGAAAAGTTAATTGTCTGGGAGGGAATATTCATAATTGAAATTTGCGTATTTGTAATGAGGATACATATATTAACAACAGAAACACATCAATTTGCAAGTGGGCTAATTTAATTGAAAAAGTTGAACATGATAATGTAACAAGTCTAGAGGGACTATTCACTAGTGAAATTAGGCAATTTGCAATAAGGATACGCATATTAACAATAAGAATTCGTCCATTTGCAAGTGAACTAGTTAAATTGAAAAAGTTGAACATCATTTTTCACAAGTATGGGAGAGACTATTCACAAGTGAAGTTAGATAATTTGCAATACAAATACACACATAACAACAATAACTCGCACATTTCTAAGTGGAGTAATGTGATTAAAAAAGTTAAAAATGATTATTCACAAGTCTAGGAGGAACTATTCATAAGTGGAATTATAACATTTTCAAGAAGGATATGTATATTAACAATAAGAATACGTCTATTTGCAAGTAAGCTAGTTGAATTTAAGAAGTTGAATATGATAATTTACAAGTCCCTCCCACACTTGTAAAAAATTAGGTTTAACATTTTCAACTCAATTAGTTCACTTGCAAATAGACGAGTTATTACTGTCAATATACGTATCCCTGTTACAAATTGCCTAATTCTACTAGTGAATAGTCCCTCGACTTGTTATATTATTATATTCAACTTTTTAGTTACACTAGCCTACTTGCAAATGAACGAGTTTCTCTAGTGAATCAACTTATCCTTATTTTAGATTTCCTAATTTCAGTTGTCAATAGTATACCATATACTTGTAAATTGGTGGGGAAAGACAGAAGATTAGAATTAATTGACATATAACATACTCATAGTATATATTCCCTAAAAAGGAAATTGTGAAAATTCTTTGTATACAAATTTTAACACATTCTAAAGTAGCTTAAATTACATCCCGAATAGAAAATATAACAATTGCTATGTCATTACTTTCTTTTTGGTTGTGTTTTTATCTGTTGAAATAGTTTTGTAATGGCAACTAACTTCGTATTTCTTATATGAGTAACGAGCTACCATACAACTCAAATCTTAGTGAAGTGTTTTGATCCTATGGCACAATAATAAGTACTGTCAATAAATTCACATAGGTTCAATAATCATAATTCATAATAATGAAGGAATCATAAACATATAATTCAACTCCTACTATTATATAACAACACATGGTAAATTCATAGCATGCAACTTTCCTTCTTACATAAATCCCAAACTTGTAAAGACACTAATTGTCATGCATTAGTTCTCCTTGTAAATTTAGCTTGTTAATGCATTAGTTTTGGTAAATGACCTAACTTCAATCGTTACACTACTAAATAACAAATTGCTACAATTTACCACTTAGCACAGAAAATTCACAAAATCATATGAAATTACAGAGGGGAAATGAATCAGCCAACAACAAAAACATCACAAACAAGATAATCGGAAAGCATGACCAATTATAAGAGGTAATATGGAGAGATACAAAAGACATAACACAATACCCATACCGAAAGAGACATATAGTGAAATATAGGTTGGGATATCTCATTATCAAATCTTCTTTGCACAGATATTGAATATAAAACCAACTAGATATAAGCAAAAGATCATTAATGAAGTAACGATAAACCTTTCTCGGACGACCTCTGTGAGTTTTGAGAGTGAGAGAACTAGCATAACGAATAGCGATAAATCTCCTTTGTATGACTTTTCAGAGTGACGGAAGCACAAGATGGACGATGAGTTTAGAGAATGAGAAAGGGAAGAGTCTGTGAGATTTTAGAGTGAGAGAAAAAAGAGCAGAAAGAATAGCCCTAATTTTCAGCCCTCATTTTTTCCAAATTTAAGAGGAAACAGTTATTAGGGGCAATTATGTCTTTCTCATTCCTCAATTAATTTCATTTGGATCCTTTGGTTCTGCAGTGATGTTTCAGAATTATTTGGTTCTAAATGAAAATTATGTTGCTACAGAGGTCATCAATTGAAATTTTCCCTAAAAAGTATTGGAGGGAGCATGTTGGAAGATGAGATGTATGTTACGAGATGTCCTGCTAGTTAGGAAGTCTTGGTCTAGCCATCAATGTAATTGCCAATGATCATCGTCTACGTAAGCCTGGCGTCTTAATAATTTTTGATGTTCTTTTCAATTTTGTTAGTTGCAAGTATCTTTTTATTAGGAATAATTCAATTTGAGGTATTATCGGGCATTATATATGAATACTTCTTCAGTGGAGATTTAAACCTTGATTTGTCACATTGTAAAGGACTAGTCTCTTCTACTAGACCTAACTTCCGTTAGTATGGCATACTTTTTAGTAGCTTCAAGATAATAATATTATTTCAACTTTACAATCATATCATAATATGTTAATCCAAAAACATTTTTAACTTTTAAAACATAACATTATTCATAAGTAACAAAATTTTTTAACATAGTACACAAGCATGCTTGAACAATTTTCAAAATAGACAAGCTTTGATGCATCCAGACGTGCTTGAAAAGTTTAAAAGCATATTATAACAATTTTTAGTCAAAACAAACAATTCAAAATCTAGTCTTCATAGGCACAACAATTTCTGAAACAACTTAATACGCACACAAACTTATCTTTATATATATATATATACTACCTCCGGTCCTAATTATAAGACCTAGTTGTCTAATTTGAGGAGATTAAGAAAGTAAGTTAAGTTAGTTATTTGTAATAAATAAGTATTGTCATTCTTAAAATATCCTTGCTAGTTAATTGTATTGGCTAGAACTATCATTATTAGAAGGACTATCTTGGGAAAAAATGCATAAATATGAGAGACAAAATGGATTAGGGTTTTATAATTAGGACCAAACTAAAAGTCAAATGGGATCTTATATTAAGGACCAGAGGTAGTATATACTAATTTGTGATACTTATTTATGTATATTTGATAAGTATATGAAGGGATAACCAAAGTTTATACTCCGAACTTATTATTATCAACACTTGTGTGCTTCTAATTTCTACCCAACAATTTAATTTCAATCTATATAATTATTACACAAATTTTCATGAATCAAATTGCTAAACAAATAATTAATTTAACTACATAGACGTAAAATTGCTAATTCTACTTCTAACTTCTAAATCTCACTTATAATCCTTAGTTTTTCATTTTAATATCAAATTAAATCTTTTCTAAATCCCAACAACTCATTTCAATCAGAAATCAATCCACAATTACTTAATTAATCAAAATTCCCAATTTCTTTGATTTAGAGTTTCAAGAAAAATACCCATTCTCAATTTATAAGATTTAGCAATAATCTAAATTGATTAAATATTAACTCTACTTTCAACAAGCATAACTTCAACAATAAACTCAAGTTCAGTTGATAAAATTATTATATTCAATCATAACCCTCCTCTAACATTTAAACTGTAACTTTAAATTTCCCAAATAATGAAACAGAAATATTTTATACTGATTAAATATAAGTATTAACTCATCTTTAATCCTCCAATTCCAATTTGTTGGAACTTAGTACTTGCTTGGAGTTCTCATTTTTTTTTTTTTGACCGGATTGGAGTTCTCATCTTTAAACCAACACTAGTGCTGAAAAGGAAAAATTACATTGTTAGAAAGCTCTCATTGCATAGAAAAATGTTTGTGAAATAAACTTTGTGGATCGGAAATTCTATAGGCATCAAGTCAAGCTTAAAAATATCTTAAATCTCTATTAATGGCAACTATACCTGCCACGGGACGGGAGAGACAAAAGAAGCAGAAGAATGCGGTGGGGTAGTTGGCGCATTAAAATGGTGTGGGTCCCGCATCATTATAAAATGAACTCCCTTGATATTTTCCTATAAAATGGTTTTGTTTATATAGGGGGAAGAGACCAGATTTTTTTAAAATCTTATTTATAAGTTATTTTATTAAATTTTTTAGTATAAATATACTATTTTGTTATTCATTTATTACAATGTAAATAGTTGTCTTTTTTAAAAGGTGTATATATTAAATAGGGATAAATTTAAAAAGTTGTTATATTTTAATGAAGAGTTAATGCATTTTAAGGTTTTTTTTTATCTGTGTCAAATATGTTAAAAGTGCCTTATAAACAGGACCACATGAATATTTATAAGGCAAAGAGAGAAGATATTTTTTGTGGCCAAAAAGAGAAGATATTTTTTGTCCTATTTATAGAGCATTGAGAGAAATTTTTTGTATGAACGTATAATTTTACCCTTCATTTATTATTGTGTTAACTTTGTTTACATGAGATATAATATATATTAAATAGGGACAAAGTTGAAAAGTTATTGAATTTTAAACTAGAGTTAATAAAATTTAAAAATTTTCTTGATCTATGTGAAACATATTAAAAGTGACTTATAAATAAAACTAGAAGAGTAATAGTCAAGCTTAAATGTGTTTTAAAAATTGATAAAAAAAATTATATATTTTACGTTTATTAAAGAATGTTGTTGAAAATTTCTCTCATATCTCTCCTACATTTAAAACTTTCTCTCCTCCTTGTAATAAGGAGTAACAGTAAAAAATCATAATTAATTATTTTATCACCTTATATTTGGATCAAAATTTTTTTCAGAAGAATTTTATATTTTGAAGGGAAGATAGAATTTTACAGCTCTCTTTTTCTTTCTTATCTCTCCTTTTTATTTAATAATTTTTATTTTTCCTTAAAAAATTTTATTTTTATTTAACCCCATTATTTCTCTTCTTTTCTAAAAATTATGACTTAGAATTATATCATTAATCTAAGGGAGAATTATAATGAGATTCCAAACAAAAAAAAATTAAAAAACAAGTCTCAAAAGTTGTTATTCTCACCATAAGACTTATTATTATAAGCTGTTAATGTTGTTATTGGGACCTTTTAGTAATTATTTCTTTTCTGTAAGACTTGATTGTAATTCTCTCTTAATCTAATCAGTTTTGGATAAATTTTTTTCCCTCATAATTACATAGTAAATTACAATTTTCATGAAATCCAAATATTAATAAACATTTACGGCTTTCGATTTTGCGCTTCTTCATTTTGCCCAAAAAAAAAAAAGGGAAAGATTTTGTGCTTCTTAATCATGGCATAACAATTTGATACTCGTAGCTTAACAATATAATTAGGACCTATTATTTTGTTTAGGATTTTCACATTAAATTTTTCTCTTCTAGATTTGATATGTTTCTAGACCTTGAACTCGAACAATGTATTTTATCACTCTAAATTTCAAATTTCAAATTACTTAATAAATCTAATCATAATATTATTTAAATCCTTAAAATAAATATTCGGTATATTACACCAGGTCAAAATTACTTGTAATTCAAAATACAGTCAAATATATTGCTTCTTTTTGAAAAAGTTATTACAATTCACACCATTAAATTTTAGTGGTGCAATCTGAATTCAAGCTTCTTTTTCGCCCCCCAAATAATCCAAAAGGTTTACATGAATCAACATATGGATTTGTAGCCTCCATTAATTAGCATTTAGACATTTACACACTCCATTTTTTGCCTCCATAGAGTTAAAAGGATCATCTCACATTTATTTTTGTTTTTTAAGACAAAATATGAGTTTCATTAATAATTCTTTGACAATATACCCTAGAATTACCCTTCGAACCAATCCAACATTTGGTGGACCCACAAAAAAAAAAAAAGAAGAGACAAAACTCAGGTCAAGTTAACTAGATCAAATAAGTCCAACCTATATTTATTTTACACATCATCACCTATTACCGCTTCACCTAATGTTAACACCGTGAGGGTACCACGATCACTGAGAGAGAAGGTTGAGTTCTTGGCTGCTATTCAATCATCTTCAACCCCAACGCTACTATAATCACAATCCTCCAGGATAACTTCAATTTCAGCTCAAATCTCTGCCTTTGATCCAATCTCTTCCATGTGGCACCTTCTTCCTCCATTACCGACAAACCCACCACTTCAGGGAACTCATCCTCCGATATAGTCAATCTCCATTGTCAGGGAACTCATCCTCCTCCCTACTTTCACCCACGACCTCCAACCCGCATTGAGACTAACAGAGTTAATAGCAGGTTAAGTGATGAGAAGTGATGTGTTGTAAAATACATATAGGTGGTAGAATTTAATTAATTACTTGGTCCTACTTGACTTAATTAACTTGACCCAAGTTTTACCCGAAGAAAACATTTGTGCTACACGGAGGCCATGCTAATCTTCTCTGTATCATTCCAATTTGATCGCAGACATCCAAAAAGGACATTAGCTTTTCCGCTTCTTTCCACACAAATTCCTTTTGAATTCGTGCATCATTGCACGATATCCATTTTCTCTTAACCTCCTCCCACAACAACCTTGCATACCTCTCTAGAAATGCTATTTTCGAAGGACAACATTTTCAGATGACACTTCTCTCACTTACCAGGCATTTCACTCACAACTGATTCTGTAATTTAAAGAAACAAAAACAAAAATTTATATTTTCTATTCACATATTGCTAAATGAAGCTTTACCAGTGGCAGCGGCACCGTGCATCAACATGCCTTCTTTGCCATTATCAACAAAGATGCCCTGAAGATAAAGAATAAAAAAGAAGACACAGGAAAAAACCAAACAAATTCGCGTGAGTAGTATATACCAAATGGTCAAGGGAAGGGGGCACGTGAGCTATAGAAAATATCAAGCATTCCTCACGTGAGTTGCTTCAACAGTGTTATGCCCAGAAATTCCTCACAAGAACAATACAAGGACAGAGATTCCCTCATTATTGTAAACGTAAGAAATACTACCCCTGATTTTAAATATAAAATTTAGCTTATAGTAGAAGGGACCGGAGGTGGTAATATATAATGAAATATCTCTCCTTAATGCTTGAGAATTTGTGAAAAAATAGAGCAGAATAAAATGATAATTAAAAAAATGATATTAAAACAAGTAATAGAATACAGCAAGTCATGCTGCCCCCTCAAAAAAAAAGAAAGAGAGAGAGAGAGAATGGCAAGGCATGTGGGGCATCAAAGTTTAAAAAGGTTTCAAAAACCCTTGTTTAATATTCCATTCCACCACTTGAACAACGCCCTGCTTGATCTACATTTATTACTCCATCTTTTTATCGCTCGTTCACAAAAAATTCCATAATTCTTGTCTTCAACTGACAATTTCGTGCTAATTTAGAGGGCCACAAACGTTAAATTGACTGAATTCAATCCTCATCCTATGTAGTTTTCATACTAAACTCTCAAATTCCTAAGGGTCTACTTAGATAAATGTTTAAAAACTAATCCCTCCATCTTCAAGTAGGAGCAAATTTTAATAAACCCACACAATTGAAAAGAGTTAGTTTATCATAATAGTTACATCTCAAATTGAAAATTTTTAACTAAAATGCCCTTGTGACTAATGCTCAACTTTTTCCCTCATCTAATGATATGCTCATTTAGTAAAGAGTGATGATTAATGAGGACAATTTAGAAAAGATGTCTCAAATGCATCTCAAATTTTGTTTCTTTTGCTTTTAAAAAAGACAAAAAGGGGGGGGGGGAAGCATGTTCAAAATTTGCTTATATAAAAAACTAAAACTTACTAAGTCTATTTTACTATGTACATATCACTCTCAAGTGTCCTTTTTAGATTTAGGGATCATCATTCTACTCAATTTCTAGGATAAGCAAATCTTAATTTTATATCCATCCATCTCTATACGTTTCTTTTGGCAGTGTCTCTATTACCAACCCCAGCAGAACACGAGTATTGTGGGGCCGAAATCCCAGAAAAATCCAGAAAAGGTTTCCTGAGTAACCTAATCATCAAATTTGGAGGGAAAGTGAGCAAGAAAATGGTTACTTAGGTCACATCACAGTTACCAACTATGGCAATGTTTTGCTAATCAAAAGAATATTTGGGGCAGGTTTCTACTTTATGTATGATTCTCGCAGAATCCAAGGTGCCCCTAATCAATTCTCGTCATATTCAAGAATATCGCCTTAGTTTTGTATAAATAAATGGGTTACGTGACAATGTATGTTTAATAATATTTTTTTTTATATAAGATATGATATCTGATATAATCAAATTGAATTGAAGCATATTATCATATCGAACAAGCAGCTAAATATGCTCACCAAGTTGTTCTTACAATATATGCAAAGCCCCCATAAAAAGACTATGATAACAATTGAGTTAAGAATCATTTTTGCCCTAGAAGTACTCACGAACTAGCTATAGGTCTGTATAAGTTTGTTTCGACTCAATATCACACTAAAAGTATTAGGGGGGGCGGGGCCTTTCTATTAACAATATTAACAATTTTGTTCAAAAAAAATTTCACAAAACGCAATATTACAGCTTTTTTAATACTTTCAGGATAACATTTAGTTTAAAGAAAAACTCTCGGGATATGAACAGTTCCTATGCGGATACTGAAGGGATAAAAATAAAAATGATTATTAACCTGATAACAATTACATACCACATGTTATTTTTAATGAAAGTGGAATGATTTTCCTGGTTAAAAAAGTAGAGGAATAAAAGAGGAATGACTTTCTATGAATCATCCAAATGCTACCTAAAATATTTGATAGGGAAAATTGGAAAGAAAAAAAAAACTGAAAATTACCAAATCCCTAATACAACACTTTATTTAGTGTTGACAACATTGAATTTATAAATAATAATAAATTTTTGTTGACATTCATTATTTAGCATTTAGTAATCTCCACCTTTTCTTTTTTGTCATTTTTCCTATTTGATATGATTTATATAAAAATATCAAAATACAGTGACCTCCCTTCCGTTTTGCTGAAATCGGTAACCTTTCTTTTTTATTTCAAAACTTATAATGTAATCCAGTTTTCAACCCCATTAGGAATATTTTATTAAAAATTCTAAAATAATTAATTTTTATTTGTAATTATGTCAAAAAATTTAAAATTATTAATTTGTCTTTACAATCCAATTGTTCACTCTCTCTCCAATTTAAAGAACTTTAAATAATTAAAAACATTTATCTCTTCATCTCTTTATGTTTTATTAAGTTTTTCATAAACTCATTTTAAATATTATTTTAGCCAACTTATGCATTTGAATTTTAAAAAATTACTTATTATTTAAATTTATAAAACTAAAAATTCAAAGTTTGAAATGATTTAACATCCAACAATTTTGATAGTTAGACAAATTTATATTTCCCCAACTTAAAAATGTCTATCCAAATTCGTGCAAAAAATGCCTATCTAATTTTATGAATGGCGAAAAAAATTATATTCTTTTTTTTCCTCTTTTGCAGACAGAGAAGATATTTTATCCCCTTCCTGAAGTTTCTAATATTCGAGAAGTCTAAATCACCAATTAAAAAAAAAATTATATATTGGAATTCAGAAAAGCAAGAAGATGCCAAAATATACCCTGTACGCTAGTAAAAGTTAAATACTTACCAAGTTGTCCTGATCCTGAAAGAGGATAAATACTTCAATCTCGGAAAATGACGTCATCGGCGATTTCCATCAACAGCTCACGACTCTCCGGCGAGAACTTCCTCGCAAACATGTAGTCATACCCTGAGTAATTTGACTGCCTTAACTGGAAAACCAGCTCCGGCGAGACCTCCGATGACGTGTACAAGCGCGGGTGGCCGTCCCAGCATCCCGTCCAGTTCACCCTCGTGAGGGTGAATCCGGTACACCCATTCGGATCCTCCATGGACAAAAGGGTCGGAAAGTAGTGCTCCTCCGGGTAGCACGGCTCCTCGGTCACACACGGCAGCCTGAACTTCTTCCACAACCTCCTATCCCTCACGACAGCTGCCGCATGCCGCCGGGTCAGCACGAAGAACTGTGACCCGACCCGGAACTCATCAAACGTCACTTCCGGTAACATCGCGTGCTCCCCACGCGCCACATATCGGTCGTACAGATTGGGCTCGTCGGCAAGTATCTCGATATAGCTCTTGTAGTTAGACTGAGAAAACGTAAAACTCGTGAGAATCGTTAGTTCGTTGCCGAAGAGGGAACGGTACATGTAACGGAAGGAGTGGAGTGGGATGCAATGCTGGGACACAAGAGCAAAGTACTGGTTCATCGGGTCGTCGATCAGGGCGTTGGCGAGTAGGCGGCGCGCGGCAGCGATCAGGGACGGTGACGCGCGGAAAGTTTTCTTCGACGGGATGAATCGGTCGCGCAAAACGCCACCGGGAGGGGTGATGTAAACGGATGGGTCTGAGTGGATGTAGATGTTGAAGAGATTACGATTTCCATGGAAGAATTTTTCCCAGAGCGGGGCGAAGGAGAGATTGGAGTTCGTGAGGAAGAGGAAAGCGATTTTGGGTTTAGGATTTGTGGCGCCTAAGCGGTTGGTGGTGGAAACGGAATGGGCGGCGCGTGATGCTCTGGTGAAGAGAGCGAGGTCGTCGACGTCGTCGGAGACAGTGAACGTGAAGTCAGCCGGAGGGAGGATTTGTGGAGCAAAGAAGAAGATGAATGGGAGACTGAAGAAGACAGTGAAGATAACAAGCAAAGGACAAGACAACATTGGGAGAAGAAGAAGAAGTGATGAATTTGGAGGGGAAATTTTCGGGGAAAGGGAAAGATAAAGAGAAATTGAAGGAAATATTTTGGAATACTTTAATTTGGTGATGTATTTGGTCGGGATTCTGGAACTAACTGTTGAAGAGTGAGATAAGAGAGTGAAAATAAAAGTAGGGGTTAAGGTTGAGGAAGATGACGAAGAAGACGACGCGATTGCGAAGAGAAGTTCTTGTTCTAGAGATTGCCTGGCCCATTTATGAGATGTCCAGCAATTTTCTTTCTCTTTTGCTTTTAATATTATTATTATTGTTTTATAAATCTTATTCACAGGAGAGAATGTTTTTTTTTTGTCATATTTATATGACACTGAAAAAAAAAATTGGTATGAATATGTAATTTTACTTTTTATTTATTATTGTGTTGATTTTGTTTACATAAAATATAATATATAATGTATATTGAATTAGAATAAAATTATTAAATTTTAAATGAGAGTGAACAAAATTTAAAATTTTTATTAGAATGCGTAAAATATATTAAAAATGACTAATAAATAAGGTTAAAAAAAATATTTTGGAACCATATGCATGTTAAAAGTGTTTTTATGGCTCCTTATAATTTTGATACCTGCGGCTGTACTTTTTTTTTGGGCCAAACGGCTGTACTTTGTTTTGATGTCAATTTAATAATTTTATACTTTATAATACTCCTCCAATCTTTAATATAAGATCCATTTAACTAATTTGATTAGATTAAGGAAGTTAGGTAAGTTAATTAATTATAAAAAATGTGACACATTTTTTCTAAAATACCATAATTATCTTTCTTAATACCCCATCTCCCTCTTCTACTTGATTATGGTTGAGGGAGTATCCATATGGGTAATTTTAGGGGTGTTCACGGGACAGATCGGGACCGGGACAGGCCCGTCCCGATTCCGTCCCGATGAACAGTAACGGGACAGATTTTCTGTCCCGTGTCCCGGCCCGTCCCAGGGTTGTCCCGGTCCCGGTCGGGACGGGACGGATCCGGGACGGGACCGGGACGTCCCGAAATAATTTTTTTATTTTTTTTTATTTTTTTATTTTTTTTTATTTTTTTTCATTTTTTTAAAAAATCTAATTTTTTTAATTATATTTTTTTGAGCTTAAATCTTATAAAAACATCTTTTTTATTTGTTTGGGCACTCTTAAACAAAAGCTCAAAATATTACATATAATAGTTATTAAAAACTCTAAACAAAAGCTTTTAACACAATAAAAACTTGCTAAAAATTCTAATCATCAATAATCTCAAATCATTAACAAATATAAAAACTCTAAATAAATATATCCATAGTTCCATACAATAGTCTCAAATCTTAAAAAAATATGAAAAAAATGATATTATATAAAAAATTAAAAAAATTAATTTTTTTTTAAAAAAAGGAACCGGGACGGGACGACCCCGTCCCGTGTCCCGTCCCGTCCCGGTCCCTTTTTTGTCCCGTCCTGAAAAATTTCGGGACGGATCCGTCCCATCCCAATAAGACCGGGACCGGAACTGGTCGACCGGGACGGGCCGGCCTTGAACACCCCTAGGTAATTTAGAGAAAATTGATAAATATGAGAAATGGTTCTTATATTTAGAACCAAAACCAACTCAATAATTGGGTCCTATATTAAGGACCGGAGGAGTAATAACTAATGATGGTAATGATAATATATTTATTTGATTTCACGCTTTTCATTAAAAAAAAAATCTAATCTCCAAATCAATCGGTGTGTGAGTGCTTTTTTATAAAAGGACAGTTTTATTTTAATATAAGTAAAAAGATATATGAAAAATATTAAGCCACCAGTACAAATCACTTTTTTTTTTTCTCTCCCAGCACCAATATAAATCACTTTAGCCCAGCGCAAAAGAAATAGCATAAACAAACATAGACTAACTGGTGTCTCAAAAAAATAAAAAATAAAACAGCTGGTGTTACCTAACCCAAGTCACTAATGAGTAATGAGGGGCTTTGCTTTTTTTTTTTTGGGGGGGGATATTTTGGACATTATATTATTATTTTTTTTAACAATATTCTCAATAACTTACCAAACATCTTTAGGGTTAACATCCAATTTTGCTTCAGAAATTTTCTCTCTGAATCTGGGGATATCTGAAAATATTTTTAGGAATAATGTCGTCCCAAAAACTATCAAAACATAACAATGTCGCTACGTAATTTTTGGGATAATATTACTTTAAAAAACTTTTAGATACGCACAAGTCCTGAGTGAAAACTTTCAATATAAAATTGATTGAACCTTAACCCAACATTTTTATGGTAACAAAGATTGTATTACATTTTATCTCCCATAGAGTCATATTGTTCCTCTTTCGGCATATTTAATGACTTGTTAAGATTATCTATCATTCAAACCTTCCAGGTGTTATGGCATTTCCTTGATCTGGAGAGAGAAACTTGATTCCAATAATCTAACAAAGATGGATTTTAGTGCTATGTGGCACATATTAGGATTGAAAATGAGAGAAAATTTTCATTTGTTGATTTTCTACCCTGACAATTTGCAATATGTAGGAATTGTCATCTTAACAGTTTTAACCTTTGTAATGATGAGAGCTTTCAAAGAGAACTAAAGAATTATCAGTATAAAATAAATGAGAGATGGATTGAGCATTTCTACAAATTTTGATGATTTCCCACTTGTTAATACATTCCAAATGATTAATCATGAAAGATAAAACATTTTCAGAGAGTATACACTACCTCCGTTCCTAATTATAAGACCTCGTTTGTAGACTATAAATGAGATCTTATACTTAGAACTGGAAGTAGTATATACATAAGGAGATCAGGGATTTTCCTAACGAATTCCCCATGAGGTAGAATGACATTGATGAGTTGACCATTAAATTAGATTTGATACTAAATGTTACATCCGATCTTTTAATATAACGAATATGGTATGAAAGAATTTAGCTTCCCTTTCCCCTTCAATTTTCCATTTTATTTTGGCTCGTTAAACCCATAAACTGGCCTCCCAATCATAAAAACTCTAATTCATGTTTACAATCCTATATTTCTTGTTCTAAATATAGATTAGATAGATGTTATTAATTTATAGTAGACACTAAATGAGCGGGTCCACTTCTTACATTTTGGCTCCAGCAATAATAGATAATCTATTTACACTCTTCATAATTTCTCACCAAAATTTAAATTTTTATTGAGAAAAATGTCTCGTTCTCAAGAGTACTTCAAATGAGATAGTTTTAATTAGAGAATTTAGGGGGAAAAGGAAGAATTGTAATTAAGTCTTAAAAAATATAATTACTAAAAATTTCTAATAACAATCTAAATAGTTCGTAATGATAATTTTCATAATAGAAAATATAACTTGTTACTGAAAGTTGTTGGAAGTTGTTTTTCTTTATCCATACTTTATTGTAATTCTCAATAATAAAAGCCATATCTGTTATGAATATAATATCTTTATGGATGTCTATGTATCTACCATTATCTCCTTTATCTCCCAATATTTTGAATAGCTCTTATTATCCCCATTATCTGTAATTATCTCTTATTATTATGTTATCTGTAGATTCTATCAAAGATATAAAGCTGCGGTTATAAATAGAGGTCATGTATAATGCATGAGTACTCTTGAATGGAATGAGAAATACTCTCTCTTATTGATCTTCTTTTCTTCTCTATTATTCTTCTTTATTTATAACATGCTATCAGCATGAGTACTCTAACGACAGTATAATATTCCGATCTTCTTATTATTACTATGTATTATGCTTCATGATTTATCCTCTGTCTTCTATACTCTTCTACACTATGAGTATTTTTGTTCCTAAATGGCTTGAAGCCATATAGTTTAAATTTTTCTATTTTATAGTCAGAAGTCATAAAACTTTATTTTCTACTTTAAAGCTAGAAGCCATAAAACTTTATTTTCTCCTTTATGGTTAGAAGTTATAAAACTTTGTTATTCTTTCTTATGACCAGAAGCGATAAAACTTTATTTTCTACTTTATGGCTAGAAGACATAAAACTTTATTATTCTTTCTTATAGCCAGAAGCCATAAAACTTTATTTTCTACTTTATGGCCAGAAGCCATAAAACTTTGTTTTCCTTCTTATGGCCAGAAGCCATAAAACTTTATTTTCTATTTTATGACTAGAAGCCATAAAACTTTATTTTCTACTTTATAGCCAGAACCTATAAAACTTTGTTTTCTTTCTTATGGCCAGAAGCCATAACTTTGATTTTCTTATTTTACTAACCAGAAGTCATAATTTTGATTTTCTAACATATGGCTAGAAGCCATATAATTTTAACTCATGACCAAAAGTCATTCAAATTTGATTTTATCTTATTAAATAGCTAGAAGCCATGTATATATTTATTTTTGAGAAATATTTATTGTTTATTTGTTAATTTTTTTATGTGATAAATATGATTTTAAAATGCTTGTATCCGTAGAGATAATATACCAAATTTTGTTCCTTTCTCATTTAATTTTCTTTCATTTGTTTCCTTTTGGTAATTTATGATTCTTTTTATTTTCTTCTCATTAACAAAGAGTAGTGTAATTTCCATATGTGCCAATTTTTTTAATATTATTTTCTTTTGTGATAGTGTTATCATGTCAAGCCTTACAAAACTCGAGTTTGTGGCATTTGATATTACTGGGAAGAATTACTTATCTTGGATACTAGATGTAGAAATTCACCTAAATGCCAATAGTTTGGGAGACACAATTAAAGAAGAAAATAAGGCATCTAATCAAGAAAAGACTAAAGCCTTGATTTTTTTACGCCATCGTTTGCATGAAGGACTAAAAATAGAGTATTTAACCATTAAAGACCCACTCGTTTTTTAGAGCAATTTGAAAGAAAGGTATGACCATCAGAAAACTGTCATTCTCCCAAAAGCTCGTTATGAATGGATGCACTTGCGCCTACAAGATTTTAAATCTGTTAGTGAGTATAATTCTGTGATATTTAGAATCAGTTCTCAATTGAAATTATGTGGAGCAAAAGTCACTGATGAAGACATGTTAGAGAAAACATTCTCCACATTTCATGCATCCAATGTGCTCCCGCAGCAGCAATACCGTGAAAAAGGCTTCAAGAAATATTTTGAACTAATTTATTGTCTTCTTGTAGCTGAGC